CGTGCATTTTGTGACCATTTTTAGGTCCAGCCCTTGGGGTTCTGCACTGCCTTGGTTCCTAGCTCTGAGCTTCAGATAAAGTGTCAGGCAGTTCTCTCCCAGCTCAGGCACACACAACAATCCTTTCCCAGCCCAGAACCAAGGACAAAAAGCACAACCAGCCCCGGATTGAGGAGAGCAACCTGGGAGGATGGGACTGCATCACCTGAGGCTGGAATTGCACAATTCACCCCAAGGAGATGGACCAAAATTTACAAAAGTGTGAAACTCGTGAGCCCTGGCCAGGCTCTTGCACTGCCCAAGGTGCAGCCTTTGAAGGGCTTTAGAAGTGTTGATAGGTGGAATGGGACCCCAAAATAAAACATTTTAATAATAATTAGCCCAATAATTGGGCTGCAATTTGGCCTCTGTTTTTTTGCTGATGTTCCTGCAGGTTTTACTGGCCAAAATCTGCTCCTCAGTATTGTGCTGATTTTTCTGTCACTATCCCTGGCATGTGAGTCCTGAGGCCAACACCCCTTGGAGGTGCAGGAGAAATGGTGAAAAAGTTCAAGCACAAATTATATCTTTTTTATACTTCTCCTTCTGTAAGGACCTTAAAAAGCCAATTTTCCTGCCCACACAGTGTTCTTTGTCTGAGCTTGCTTTCAGTTGAAAGGGACATTCTGTGGGAATTTCACTTTTGTTTGTGTGTCTGCTCTCTGCAATGACTTTATTGACCACATAAAGAATGATGATTTCTATTTTTTTTCCAGTAGCTCTTTCAAGAGACTCTTCTGAAGCCTGGTTTGATTTGGAGGGGGAAAAGGGCTCAAGATAACAGAAAACTTCCGGGTAAGTAAGCATATGTTCTTGCTTTCAATAACATTCCTCTAGAATGTCTCCTGATTTAATAAAGACCTGGAGTATTTTTTTTGCATCTCCTGAATTTAATAGATATTTTTAATTAATTTATTAAGCAGCTCTAGTAGTTTAAACTGTGAACCTGTTTCCCTGGCAGAATGTAAGGAAATGAGGCACTCTTAATGTCTTGGGATGAGTTGGAAATTCACCTTAGAGTTCAATGACTTGAACCCACAGATGAGATGTGGGCATTTTTTTCACTATTCATGTTCTTCTGTCATTCAAGCTCTCCAATTAAGCTTGTAAAAAATACTGGTACAGAAAAAAACCTGAGCGATTCAGGCATTTGGGAGGGTTCTGGAAACACCTTTTTTATTTTAAAAGTGTTTTTTCCTCTTCCCACATCCTCCAGTACAGCTGCTCAAAGGTCTTTGTCCAAATATATAATGGAAACAAATTGCCAAAGCACACCATAAACCGGATTTTTTTGCCTGGGGGCTGTGAGAGATGAGTGTGGAGCATCCTGAGAGAGAATGTTTGTCAGGAATAGCAGAGAGCAGAGTCAGTGCAGAGCAGCCCACGGTGCTGAGGGCCACGAGAGAGCTCTGCCCTGGACAGATCTGCTCCAGAGCTCTCCTCACACCAATGGAAATGCTCATGGCAACACACAAACGTGTGGCTTTGCAATCTTTGTTTTAAGAAGTCCCTCTTTTGTCTGTTTTTGGTCTTGCAAGGCGGGTACCAGCAGCTCCTGGAGATGGTTTTGGCCACTGAGCAGCAGATCCATCTGTTCTCCTGTTTTCCAGGCAGACAGGAATATCTGCCAGGCCAGCCCTGAGCCAGGCAGAAGCTGTGGCAATATGGAACAGAATTTGGTTTCATGTTAGCAGGTCTTTCAGCAGGTTTATTGACTCCATTTCACTCTTGTGCTAAGTTAATCCATGCAGCTTCCAGCTGATCTGGAGTGATGAGTGCTTTTGTCTGCAAAATGCTCTCCAGACACATTCCTGGGGCTGCCAGTAAACAGAACCACAGGTGAAAAGTGTGACTGCTGAAGGAAAAGAGTGGGTGAAAAGGTGATTGTTAGAGCTTGGAGCCCCAGAGAAAAGATTGAACAAAAATCCAAATCAGTTTAAGGGCAGATTGAGACCAACACTGGGAGAAAATAACCACTTCCAATTTCCAAAAGGATGCCAATATCTTACAGATACTCAGTGAGAGGACTTGGCCAACCAACCTCCAGGCAGAGGACCCTGCAACAGAGCAGCTTAAAATGAGAGAATCCAAGTTTGCTGTGCCCAAAGCAGGGCCTTACAGATTAAAATGAGAGAATCCAAGTTTGCTGTGCCCAAAACTGGGCTTTACAGATTAAAATGAGAATCCAAGTTTACTGTGCCCAAAACTGGGCCTTACAGAAACCTTTGAGCAGCAGGTTTGGATCTCTGGTGTTTGCTGGTGGTGCCACCTCTGTCACCTTTTACTGGTTCCACCATTTTAGAGAAATATTCATGTGATAAATGGGAATTCCTCCCTCCCTGGCCCCCTCCAGCACTTAATAGTGAACCAGATAACTGCTTTACAGTAGGAGATTAATAGAAAATATGAACTACTTCTGACCCACAGGTTCATACTGACACTTCAGAGAACTTCCAGAATTAACAGCATCATTTGTATAATCTGACAGGAAAAGAATTTGTTTATTGTGTAGAAAAATTGCATGCAGAAAATACATTTTTTGTGGCCTTGTTTCTTAATATACACATAAAAAAATTCTATTTCACTGTTTTGATTGCTTTGAGCAACATGATTAAACTAGAATTTTGAATATCAAAACTGTAACTTTTACGGTGTTTGGAGGGACGAGGTGAAAAATGTGCAAGTCAAACCTATCTGCCTTGGACAATGGGGAACAAATAGATATTGCAGAAGTAATTGATAAATTGGGCTGCTCATTTGGATTAGTGACAAATGACAGTTGAGTGGGAATCACTGCAATAAATCCAGAGGGACACTGTTGAAAACACCGTCCTTTACCGTGAAGGCTTTATCAATTTCTCTGTATTTAGATATAACGCTGAATAAAACCAATCTATATTTGTAACCTTGGGTTAGAAACATAGAGATAGTGCTGTTGTCACCATTTAATCCTGGTAATGCCCACACAGCCAGAATGTGATGTGGCCAGAGCCTTGAGATGTGTCTGTTCAGCTCTTTCCTGCTAGAAGGATCCTCACAATATATGAGATGGAGCACAACAAATCTTCCTCTCTGTCTTCTGCTCCTTCTCCTGCATCCTGTCAGGACATGTCCTTGCTCCAGGCCTGGTTTCAATCAACTTTTTCATTTTGGAAGCAGCAGCAGAGTGCCCAGGGCCTGGTGTAGTCCCAGGGAATTTTCCTGCTCCCTGCTCTGAGGTGTGTGCTTTTCCCCACCTTTCCCAGCAAGGGAAAGGCACAGTCCCTCCCCAAGCTGCAGGTTCTCAGCACCACATTGTGCCTTTCTTTCCCAGCAGAAGAAAGGAGAAATGAGAGTTTCTGGCAGCTGGTTATTCATTTGTTTCCCTGGAACAGCTGTAACCCTGGAGCTCCTGTGTCCTTCTCTTGGGATGTGACACAGACACAGAACAAACTGTCCTGCTTTGGCCCATTTCACCATCAATCCATCCTCTGCTCAACAGCAACAGCTGCATAAATATCTAATGAATGGCAGGGGTCAGATATTGGAGGTGAATTTGAAATAAAAAGAATCTGGAAACTAACCAGGAATTGCACAAACAGCAATTTGAGATGAATCTTTTTCTCTTTTAAGTGAAAAGAAAGACCCTGTCTGCAGGGAGAGCCCAGCCTCGCTGCATGATGGGTTTGAACCAGAATGGAGAGAAGAGAGGAATTCCTCAGGGTGTGCTCTGGCAGAATTATGAAATAAATATTAAAATATCCTGGGTGGGAATACTTTTCTCTGTTACAAATGGTTTGAAACACTCTTAGGGTTTTTGGCCAACTTAATACATAATCCTTTAACTATAATGTCCTTGGCACAGAATGTGCTTCAGCTTCTGTCTTGTTAGAAGATGCTGCTCCTTTCAAAACTGATTTATTTTAGTTTGGTGAGGCACTTTAGTTTGGATGCAGTGCAGGGGTGCTTGTGGTGGTGCTGGGTTATGGTTGGACCAGATGGTCTTTAAGTTCTTTGAACCTTGTTGATTCCATGATTTGTAATCTGTGATGCACAATGACTTTATAATTGTGTGCAGCACTGCCCTGAATGGCAGAACCCTACATTAATGCTAGCTGTGGGTTTATTAGCTGCCTTATTATTTATGGAATATCAGCTTTTAATACTGTGTTGCTTAATCCAGAAATCTTGTGTTTTTTCCAATGGATTAATCCAGGAGTCTCATAGTTTTTCCAGTGGGTTAATCCAGAAGTGTCGTGGTTTTTCCAATGGATTAATCTAGGAGTGTCGTGGTTTTTCCAATGGATTAATCCAGGAGTCTCGTGGTTTTTCCAGTGGGTTAATCCAGAAGTGTCATGGTTTTTCCAGTGGGTTCCACCTTGGGGTTGCATTTACAGAGGGACAGTCAGGCCCATGAGAAGGGCTCTGTGTTATTTGGGCTGAAGCTGCACCTCAGGACTGATGAATCCTCCCAGGTCTCTCCCAAAGAGAAAAGATCTCTGAAAGCAAATGGACACCACAAACAGGCAGGGTTAAACCAGTATAATTCTTTAACTCCCAAAAGGATCATGAGGAATGATGTTTTTACTCTAAAAAAGTGGGAGCTCGGTTGGAAAGGAGCTGTTGCAGTTTTGGAGACCGGAGTGTTTGTGTGCTGATGTCAACACAACAAAAGGTCTCCAGTCACAACAATGAAAAATCCCACTGGCACTGTTGTCTCAGTTTTGCATTAGCATCTTGGCTCATCATTCAGAGATCTGGAGCAGAGAATAAGAGTTTTCTCCTTTGAGTTAAGGTTAAAGAGCAAATTCTCAACACAAATGTTTCATATAAAATTGTTTTGGTTCTGGTAAATCTGAGAATAAACAAATCCTATCTCTAGCGCAGTGCCTGTAAATAATTTATTTGAAAGCATTTACACAATCAGAAAAAAACAGGGCTGAAGGAGGAGGTCATCTAATCCATTGAACTCTCTGCTTAAAAATCTCACTGCAGTACCAGAAACTATTTCATTAGAGTGGTGTGATGCAGTTCTGCACTAACTTACAGTGAAGAATTGCCTACTTCTAATTCATTTCCCTGTCAGCAGGGAAAAGTCACCAATTTAGTCCTGTTCTGTGGGGTTCTCCTTTTTCTTCTTTCACCTCGCTGGGAGTTTTTGTTCCATTCTGGAGTTTGTTTAACAGTAATTTCAATCTAAAGCCTTTTATATCCACTGGTATTTGACTGTTTGGAGTGATTTGTGTGGGTGATTTTGTGTATCTGTGCTCACCTCCTGCTGGTTTCCATTTTGAATTAATTATTTTGATTATTTTTGTCCTATCAGAGCAGTCCAGTGCCAAGCCACCCTTTTGGAAAATGATGCACCTTGGGTGCTTATCTGTCAATTACAACCACTCCTCTGGAGCTGTGTTAGAAGTAAAGATGGAAGTGATTTTGGCTGAACAAAGGGAAGATGGAAGAGGTTTTGGAAGGTGTGAGTGTGCTCAGGGTGTTTGCTGTGAGGGGAGAAGGCACTTTAAATAGGTTAATGTGTGCTGCACCTACTGCATCATCCAGGAAAAGCAGGGTTATGGTAGAAAGCTGCTCAATATGTATAAAGCTCCAACAAATGGGGGTTTTTTTGTCTTTAAGACTGGTGCAAGTTGAAAACTTGCTGAGCAAAAATGTTTAGAAATGAAGGCAGTGGAGCTGGCAGGAGCATCACTGCTGGAATCAATAATAAAAGGATAATCTGTCTTTCTTTGTGGTACACAAAGCAATAATCTGTTGTTCAGATTGATTAAACGCCTCAACTCTGCTTCGATTATGAATCAATCTCCAAACCAGCTTATTGTGAGTATAATACAAAGCACTGGAGATGCTGGATAGTGGTGCTGGTGATCAGAGCAGGAGGGTGGGGCAGCCTTTCCTCCAGCATGGGAAGAAAACGGAGCTGAGCTGAGGCAGAGGTTTTGTGTGGATGGGTTTTTGTTGATTTACCGTGAGACTGCAGAATTCTAAAAAAAAGGATCAAAAGGTTGGGTCTACACAGCTCAGGGTGATTTTGATCTCTGATTGACAAATGTAGGAAGTGCCATTGACCAGACAGAGAAAGAATGTAAAACATGAGAACTAAGCCTGGCTAGGAAAAACCTGGCCAGTTACCTTGTGGAAACGTGCTGGGGTCTGGTGTATTCCTAGCTCTAATAATTTATTTATTTTCTTTCTTACACTAAAGCTTTTTTTGAGCTGTGGGCTAGCCTAGGCTTTCAGCTTTAGAGCTTTTTAAGTTAGGAGAAAGAACCCACTCCTTCCTATGTATTTTGCACCCTGTGCCTGGGGTCACGTTATTGCCAAAGTGGTTTGTTGACTTTCCTGGTAGGTTAGGTGTTGTTTTAAAAGGCAATGCCAAGAGTTAAAACTTAACTTGTCTAAATGGTTCTTTACTGTCTGAAAGGGGGAATTTGGGTTTGTCTTTTTTTCTTTTTTTACTTCTGTGAAAGGTTCTAATATCCCTGTTGGAGTGAAATTTATGGATCGTGCTGTATGAAATGAAAATTAAGGCCCTGAGCAGTAACCTTGAATTTGTCTCTCCTTTGAGTCCAGAGCTGGACTAAATGACTTCCAGAGGGTCCATTTGGACTTCTCTCATTCACCTTGGTCATCCCAGCCCTGCAGGACTGTGAGGAAATCAATTATTCTCCCTGATGGGAACAGCTCCATCCTCAGTGCCCTCCCTCTGAGGGTTTGCACACATGCCACAAATGCATGTTTGTTTTGTTCCATTCTTACAGGCTGTGCTTTGCAAACTCGTGCTGGATATTCAGAAGAATCTTCACCTTTTGAACAGTACTGACCTGCATGATTAATGATGGATTATGCTGATAATATACATTAAATTGCATTTTCTATCTTTTTTTCCAGTTGTGCTCCAGGTTTAGATTTTGGGGTTTTTTGTTTGTTTGTTGGTTTGGGGTGTTTTTTTAATGGCAGGATGAAATAATGAAGCTGATGATAAAAGTGCCTATAAAAATTCTGGCAAATTTATTGCAGAACAACATGGCTTGATTTCTTATTTTTCTATCCATCTGGTCATTAGGCCTTTCCAACTGTCAGTGTCTAATATAATCTCCTTTAATAGCAGCATATAATTAGCTTTATGCTGATCAGAGGCATTTGGGATGGTGGTGGCAACATTCAAATCCGAATATCAAAATCCCAGAGAAGATAACTCAAAGAGACATATGTCCAATCCAGCATTTATGACTTTTAGTCCTAAAGTCTGCAACTGGTGATTTAGGCACATGAGCTTTGAACTGTGGTATGGAAATCCATCAATTAAGAATCCTCAGGAGTTCTGGCAGCCAAGTGCAGATGTCTCTCCAAATGGTAACGTGGTCATATGTCACTTTTCCCCTCCCTATACAGCCCTGTTATTGCCTTAGATATTTAATTTCTTCTTGCTTGTCCAGCTTCTTATTAAAAAAAAGGTGAAGTTTTGCAGTTGTTCCATCAGGAACAAATTGTCTCCATTTTTAAGCTTCATGCAGAGCTCTGTGTGTACAACCTACACGC